GTTACTTGGTCGATGTTTAATGCGAAAGGTGAGCCAGTCAGCTTAATCAGGCCAAATTGGTGTTGGGGGTTTTGTTTGTTATGCTGGCTTACAAGAGAACCTACAACGGTTTGGGTCCAGTTAAGGGTCAAGTACTTCCTGTTCAGTTCCGATGAAGATTCCTTTTGGACGTCGTTTTCACTTTTTGTCCGTTTGTATAGAAGAGCCGGTGCAACGATAGCTGTGTAACTTGAAGAGATTCCGGGAACTATGATTGGGTTGGGCTATTGATTCTATGTGAAATAACAACCACACACAGTCACGTGTTGATTCGGTTTAGTTAAGGACGCTCGCCATTTCCACACCCTCGATTCTATCCGCGCTGTGACGCTTGGTGATTCCCACCTCCTCGGCCATTCGCCGCAGTTGTGTGAATCTCAGTCTTCTTCTCAAGACTTCTAAATTATCCGGACCTATTCTGTGTCCTATGTCTAAAGCATGGTGCCATCGCTGAGTCTTTGACAAGCGCTTGGTATTCATCCACATTCCTTGCCAGTTTGTTTATCTTCCTTTTATACTCACCAATTCTGGTGTGCAGTCACCTGGTTGTTAGTTCCATGTAGACCTTAGTGCAATTGTTGCATTTTTTATTTTAAAAAAAGCTGTCTGCTTTTTCAGTTGTACTGATCTTTGCTGGATGAACCGGCTGATGTGTTCGAACTAAAAAGCCTCAAGTACCCATTCCGGAAGGAGAAAAAGGGTGCTTACGTATTTGGAGTTTACCTTTTATGAGAATGGATACTGTTATGAGAAGCTCAATTGCTGTAAAATTGTTCGGAAAAGACAGTTTCTCCATGGAAGTTGCGTGTATTGTGTTGTATGCGTTTTGTAATGCAACGAATAGACAGTAGTTCTGCCGGATTTCATCATCTTTCTATAGTCCTCACGACTTATAATTTTAATAAATGAGGCAGTAGATTTGAGTTATGAATGAATAGATATCGTCACCGGCGTATTTTGGTGGACACAAACGTAATTTCCCTGCCGATTGTATAATTTCGAAGATAACCATTAGTTCATCAGCCTGAAGCACTCACCCCTTCGTGTAAGCTCACCAGGCAGATATTAACCGCCAGATTTACCTTTTTCCTTTTTACCTATCAAATCATCCCCCTCTGCATATATCAAGCAAGCATGTAAATAAGTAGCCAGAAAGCTCTGCTGAATTTTTAAATTTTGTTCTGCGTTTTGCAGCGAATAACTTGCTTTGCTAGCAAATGTTCTACCCACTGCAGTAAAAGCTGTAAGATGAAAGAAGTACCTAGCTATAAATTTCTCGGACATACCATATCAAGCTTATCTCCTCACAGGGTATGAATATCGATACTGTCTAAAATGTTCAAAATAAGTTAGCGAATGTTTGGGTTCCACACGGCTCACGAGTTGAAGTTCAGAAAAAACATTCGTCGGTAAAATCTCTCCTCAGCATTCTGGTCGCATCTGTCCAAGCTTAAGTAACTCACCTTCGGCAACCAATGGGCAATTCGCAATGTTTTGGTATTGAAGCTGGAACTGTATTCGGGGAAACAGGAAGGAAACATCACGTGGATATCAGGTAATCAAAATGAAAGCTAACGGCAATGCGTATGCACATAAGTCATAATGGGAAGTCATTAGTAGTACAAGTATGCGTATTCGCGCACTTCGGTCGATTCATCGCCCTGCTTGGCATCGAAACAATGCACCGATGGTGTTACCCGGATTAGTGTTGAAGCGTTTACATTTTGATTACCCAGCCTAGTGAACAAAGCAACGATCAAAATGGTCCTTAAAACGTGTTGAAACCATGTGCCCAATTCAGCAGATTTGTCTGATGGAGAACATCTGTGGCTGGTTGTGGACAGACTAAACCTCAAATTAGTCAAACTAAGTTTGGCGAAACGTCAAGGGGAAGATTACGGATGTGGAAAAATCAATCGCAATTTTCTATTATAATTGGAGTGTTTCACTTCAAACCGTCTTTTAGCAGCCTATTTTACACACCCAAAAGGACTCTATTTTGGGGTAACTAAAACATGGATACTAACACCATGTGGCTATCGCCATCATCAGCCGCCACAAAGCATAGCCATTCTGTTGGTCTATCCCAGAGTTGGTTCGCAGCCGTGGGTGTTATTTGTGCCGCTTTACAAAAAGGAAAACATAAAGTCTTTTGACTTTTTCTTCCTTTACTCCGCGATACAAGGAATCATTCGGGGAAATTTTTAGTCGCTCACTCTGACCAGTTAGCCACTCAGTCTCATCTAAACCTGATCAACTCGAACAGACGCATCCTATAAGTCTGACTGAGATCAGATTGGTGTAGAGTGTTTTCGGATTCCAGATACTATAGGAAAATTAAGGCATTGGGGGAATTGAAAGAAACAAGAAGCAGGTGAAATGCCTATCAGTAAATGGAATTACCAGAAACTGCGAAGCACGTGCAGAATTCATACCCGTTAACAACACATTTCGTTTCTTAATGAGAGCTGTTACTTTACTTTTGGGAGTCGTTGCAGGATCAATGAAATAAGCGGTGAAATTATAGTAACAAAAATAGGGGGAGAAATTCTAACTCACAGAAGGTATGTTTGGCATGAATGGATGCTGGACGGTGTTCATCCAGTCGCCGTTATCAATACTGTATTTGCATGGTTGTGTAAACCTTTTTAGGAAAACACAGCAGACTGATGCGCCCAATAAATGCGTAGCCTTAACTAAAAACTGCTAGTCATTTCTAAAATGATGCCCCACTAAACACCAGAGATCTTTGGTTGTCATTTTCTCCATCGATCCCGAAACTGAGAAAGTCAACTCTCATTATAATGTTACCATTCATCTTCCCACAATAAGTCCCGGAATCAAACTGAATTTGCCGCATTTCTTCTGACCGAATTGAGGAAAAACAAATTTCTCCAGTTAATCGAAACCAAAGCAAGGTGTAGACCACCTAATAAGTACGCTCACTTGCACACCAATTTGGTTTTGACGAGCGACTCAACTAAATCAGATTGAATGTTATACTTTTCCCCAGGATGGACGAAAGTGGTTTTGGCCTCTTCACTAGTCTTCAGTGACTTTGTGTGATGTGATCTGTTCTGTGATGTGTTCCGTTAGGACAAGGTGTCAACAACTTACAACGCTGAGATCTTTTTTCTTTCAGTGCAATATACGAGAAAATTTTTTTAACCATTCACCGTTCAAAGCACCATGATAGTTAGTTTGAGGTCATGACAGTGGATTCATGGAGCTAGGAGAATGTGGAAATCAGTGTTCTGGATAGGTCAGGCCATGTGTGCCGTCAAATGCTGAGTCTCCTTCGTTCCGTTGCTCCTGTCATCAAAGCCATATATATTTAGTTTTGACTGTCCGTCCTTGCTCCTCACAGCTGAAAACACTACCCGAAATCACCGTTGCCTGAAAGAGCACCTATCCATAATCGTACATGGTATGCATGCACAGCCTTGATATCGTTGACGCTGTCTTCTATGTTATATATGGTATCTAATTGCATCAGGTGATCGACTATGACCTTGTCTCAAAAATGTTTAGCAAACCGCCTGCACGTTGTTGACTCAGACGTTGGTTGACGTCTTCACTAGAATGGTGAAAGAGTTGTAGCCGCAGTGTAAATAACTTCGTGAAAACTCACTGGTATGCTTTCCGTATGCAATGGAGGTTGAGATGGAGACAGATGGGAATGTGGACAAAGCATCTGAATATCACGCGAAGCAACGGAACCATCGTTTTCGAGGGTATATAGATGGCAGAAAGGGAGGGTAACATTACTGCGAGTAAAGTATGATGAAATTATCATACATGTACGTCGATTTCCAAGTCTATCGTTTGGACAAACTTTCTGTACCGCGTGGCTGAGTCGGTTTTCGACTGGAGCCATGTTTTGAAGCTGTGTCCTGCTGTCAAGCCCAAGGCTGGTGGCGCATGATAATTCAGAATGTAACCCCCGAAACTTAAATTTCTGTGTCACCAAATGTGGACGAGTATTTTACTTCCTATTACCTCCACCATCATGACATTCCACACAATATTTTTCTTCCCAGAACCGTATCCATTAAGTGAACAGCATAAAACACTTAATCCGCAACAGTCTTCAGCACTAAATTAGTAGAGTTGTTTTATTGCTATACTTGCCCAGGTTCAGCCTTTAAAAGATGACCATCGTCTCAGTCAGACCAAACTTCCAGACTCACTTAGAACTATATTTAGTATGCCCTGTTTCGGGGTATTCAGTAGCAGTTGCCTAAAAACACTGTTTCCTTGACTATATTGCACTCTTGGTGACCTGAGTGAGCTGCCAAAAACTTGTCGGTTGATTCACGTTGTTTTTCAGTGCGATGTAATCTTCTGTTGTAAGCGGGTGTCTATAATGAACAGACTTTGGATGAACTGGAAAAAGTTAAGAACCGACTGACAGGTCACTGTTTCAGAAAGGCTTGCCAATCGGTTATTTCGTCGTTTTTGTTAGGCGGCTAGTCGTGTCGGACAAAATAGCTAACCCAAACTTTCATTGAAATTTGTTCATTATATTGTGCGCATTCAGTCGACCTTTCGCCGGCCCTGTGTGTTAACGATTATGTCACACCGTACAGTCTGGCTTATGCTGTCTACCAGACGTATAACCCTCAACCAACGCATACCGCTGTTCACGCATGGCCCATCCATGATATCTGTCCAGCCAATCAGCCAACTACATGTCTCGGCCAATCACGTAGTAGATGGACCACGGGCGTCTTGACCAAGCATATTCTCACCCGGACTTGAGTAATGGTGACTTGAGCAGTCTGTGACACATTGATTAATCGACATCTAAGCTCTGGTTGATAGTTTACCTTGTGTGCGTGAGTGCTAATTGGAGACCTGTGATTGGCCGATAAACAGAATCTAGTAGGCGGCATCGCAATCATTAAAAGTCATTTCACAGTGTGTGTGCAATCGGTTTGTGCGTGTTTGCACAATATAGTGCGGCGGCATGACCACTGCGCACGTGTTCTTGTGTGCAAACTACACTACTTAGTTATCTGCGTTTCGGTCAGAATCAACGTCTCTCCTGTAATCTTACGCTAAATGCCGTGGTGAATTGCGTCGACAACACACCCACACACACATACACATCAATCTTGTGGTGGATTAATCTGTCAACGGTTTTGCAGCACCTACACAACGGATCCACAAAAAAGTCCACTGATTTCCGTGCGCTCTAGGGCTCGGCAAATAAGTCCCGTCCACTTTGAAATGGAGTCTGAACCAGTGGTCGCTGAAATCGAAACGGAACACATAGAATCACAGGTTGTAGTGGAGGATAACTCTAAAATGGACAGCAGTATGATAGAAGCAACAGAACCAGCGGTGCATTTGGCAGAGCTAATCAAGGTTGACCAGGTCAACCCTAATGGTCTGGAGCAGAACGAGGAAGCTGGCTCATCAATGACAAACGACAGCTCTTCACACATTGGCAAACACGAGGATGAAATCCACCAATCTGAATTTTCGGATATAGTTTCTGGCGTGGCTTCCGACGCTCCCGCCGTCTCTCTAATCCAAGCCGAGATCGGGGACCAGAAGCCAGTGACAGACACTCCACAGCCAGTGAGTACAAATGATGAGACCTCGACAGTGGGACAGTGGGATGATGGTGTCCCTGTTCAGCGTGGACTACAGATGGGTTTGTGCCAAGATACCCCAATACAAGAAAAAAATCACGTGTTTGCTGCAGGTGAACACGCAGTAGATGTTCCCTTGGTAGTTGCTGCTCAGAAATCACCGGCTACCATCACAGTATGTCCAGAGCTACCAGAAGGAGAGCAAAATGAAATCAGCACCAAGTTATTTGAACGTTTGGTGAATGGAATGGAAGTGGAGGTATCGACTGAACAAAAGGATGAAGACTTTACTGTTCAAAAAGGACTAGCAGTAGCGCAAGCTGGACAGCTAGAAGTGGACCACTCAGACCTCATACTTCGTGAAACTGACGAAGCGGATAAAGAGGTCTTACCGGTAGTAACAATCGATCCTATTTCTGGTGAAGAAATAGCAGCTGAGCTGCCAAAACCCCCAGAAGAACCGGTGGTCATGGAGCAAGAGACACAACCAGAAGTTGAGTCTGGCTTGAAAAAATCCATATCTACTAGCTCTTTAGAGAAAGCCGCAAATGGCCAAAAAAAGAAACGTCGACGGTTCCACTTCAGTTTTCACCGAGGCAAAGATGTTAGACATCAGGAAACCAAGAAGGAAGACTCCCTCGATCGGACAAGCGAAAGATTTTTCGGAACGAACGTTAAACATGTTTGGGAAAATCTTTCAAAAAGCCTCAAACGGAAAGAAAAACCAGCTGCAACGGTAAAGGTGAAAACACGACCACCAAGACCCCCACCTGTATCTGCGAGAGTTGATGGGAAATTCCAAATTCAGGGGGATGAACTGGACCAGCAATCACTCCGATCACTTTCGGGAGTGGTAAGTCACTGGTTACCACTGTTTAAGAAAGCTTTTTAATTGTGATGTACATCTGAGTTTGCTTAGCGCTTCCCCGCATTATCCCCGTCCTGATGTTGGATGTTACATGGTCAACAGCACGAGCTACCGGTTTGCCTGAACTGTCCACCAGTTAGTTCAGTTCACGTGCCGTAGTAAAAGCCATTAACAGTGCATTCGCTATGGAAATAGCATCCCTTTATTGCCGTCACAACTTAGTGAATAGTTTACACCAAATCCAGCGTACCTATATGGAATATGGAATTATGGCTATTAGCTTATTCTGATAAACACATCTAGGGAGAATAATACTCAGAATGACCAATAAAACAGCAATAAAAGTACAAAAGACAAATGCCGGATGAATGTAGTTTGTTCTGAAACATCCTCGGTTGAAAATCTGGCGAAACTCAGTGTTGAAGAAATTTTGGGCTATTAGCTTATTCTGATAAACACATCTAGGGAGAATAATACTCAGAATGACCAATAAAACAGCAATGTTTCGGGGAAGTGCGCACGAGTGCTGCATTAGTTTCTGCCTTGTATACTTGGCACCTATGCTGACCGTATTTCCAGTCACGTGCTTTACCGACTATTGCTCTCAGTCGTGGTATGTGGTCTTCTTCTCTCAACTGCCAAACAGCCAATCGATCGTACTATTCCTACTATTGTCATTCAGAGTTAAACTCACACGTATTTGTGTGGACACACGATAAATTACCTTTGTTGGTCAGGTCTATATACTTTTTTGATGGCCGCATGACTGGACCGTTCACTATGAATCCTAAAATAAAGGGAAATTCTTTTGGCTGAACTTAATAGATGTTCCCATTAGTAACACCTTTCAAAATTTACAATATCTGCAATTCGTGTTCACTGCAGAGAGCCGAAAAGCGAACAGACCCTCCCGGCAACTCCTTATTGGGATCCTTATTCCTGCATACAACACAACGCATTCGTAGTGTGCGTTACAACAAATAAAGAGTCACTTATCAGGACGTTAGGGTAGTCTAGTACACTTCTAGATCCTCAGTCATGTTCAATCTGCGAAATACTCATAATACCCTTGATGTGTATGCTATCATTCTCCTACGGCCTGGAAATTAATTTGAATTGCCACCTTTTGTTGTGCATTGAAGCGATTTGAACATTGAGTTCCCAGTCGGGTGTAACAGAAGGTAATGTGAAAATCGCTGCAAAGTTGCAGTAAAGATTATTATCCCCAGTGCAAAAGCGAATGCCTTTGGATTGTTTCAGTGAGTACTTAAAAATCTACTGGTGTAAAAATATCTAAATCTGACAGAAGAGGTTTCTACGACTCAGTTGTCTTGTGTGGTTACTCAAGATTCTGTCCCTCAGGTGGTCTGATAAAAGTAAAATATTTGTGCAACTCGGTGCTTCTATTTGAAATTCCTGCAGTTTTGTTGAATATGGCGAATAATCTTTAGGCTTGGTAAGAATGTAATCAACGGTGAATTCTTTCAGTAGCCGCAGAGATGGACGGATATGTGGTTATAAGGAAAAACTCGTAAACGAAAGCCAAACCCGTAGTTTATGCACATCTCTGGTATTCATGAGTGTGAATCAGAACCTGTCACGTGACAATATAAGCGTTGATATGCACAGAAAAAAACTCTTTTACATGTGAACGTTTTAGCGAAAAACCAAAAGTGGCTGATTGATTTCAGTTAACTACCGACTGTTGCATTTTCGTACTCAGCTCATCCGTCAGGCATTTGTGGTTCGATCCCAAGCTGTAATTTGTTTTCAGGTAGGAAACAGATGTGTAGTGCTTCTGTGTTCTGTAAAATCAGTTTGAAGGAGAGCGCATCGTGGTGAAGCAGCAGCACCAAAAGGATTAAACAGCTGCTGTCAGCTGCAGTAGCGTCTGCTTATAACCGAGGAAGTAATAGTAAAATGAGTGTTGTACTGCCACCTGGAGGCCAGGCAGCAGGCATCATCGCAATACTTGACGCTGACCGATTGTCCAGGCAGACGACGGACATGCCCATGAAGGACAGTTTGACTGTGCTAGGGTAGACTGTTTAAAATTGTCAAACGAATACTCACAAAACAGTCTAGTGTTCCAGCAGGTGGCGCGTCCCAGAGATAAATCTGGCGGTGGATTGGAATACGGCAATCAAAGGACGGTAGTTGTACATTGTACACGCTATATTAGCTAGTACCACGTGGGTGGAAATTCCGTCGACGTCCAGTCTGGTTTGTCAGTGGTGTGAAGTGATTTAGGAAATATAATAGAGAAGCCTATCTATGCTGAAAAGCCGGGAGCCACTCTTCAGCTGTATCATCCTCACTGGAAACCATCAGCTTAGAGCATCCCACGAACCTCCAGAGTCTAGAACCCGCGACCCCCCAGGCAAATAGTTTAAACATTAACCCTTCAGCCAGGAGTGGCTGATCAACAGTGTGATGAACTATTACTTAGACAGTCACGGGATCCATATCACGTGGTCACAATTTGATTGGCTCCTTCAATAACAACCCGCTGGAGATTATCTGATGTTTCGTGAAACGGACACTGTTGATGGTTCCCAAAATAAGGAAACTGCTGTACTGTGCTTCTCGATTTTTCAGCGTGTCTTGGCTTCACTTACAGGATGAAATTCAATTCCCTTCCGTTGAATGGTTATTAGAACTACGCTACAGTTTATTCAAACACTGCAATACACTCAAAAGTTGGCAGCGGAATTGTGCGACGAGTTGAAATGAAAACTAGGCCCTTTGTTACACCTGACCTATTCAACGAATGAGTACTGCAGTCTTGTCTTGCCAGACCCTATATGTACTTTTCAGTATTACGTGTACCATAGAATGCAATAAAAATCGTCCAGCTGTAGCACCCTTCCCTAGCTGCCACCCTATATGTACTTTTCAGTATTACATGTACCATAGAATGCAATAAAAATCGTCCAGCTGTAGCACCCTTCCGATGCCTAGCTGCCATGCAACCCGAAGGAAGCACGAGGGTTGCCCAAGACAGGGGAAGTTGAGAGGCAGAGGTCGGGTTCGAACCACGAAACTTCCGGTCAGTAAATTCGTGCCCCCAACCACTTGAGCCATCTCGAAATTCGTAAGCTTGAATCGATCTTTTTAATAAGATTTACTGTAGACTTTTCACGCTAAACCAAATCGCTGCACTTTCCCACATCAAGCTTCAGAATCTGAATGCGCAGTAATTTCTATGTCAACAAACTAATATGATGGAACCAAGTGATAGGTGCATGCTTTAGTGCCGCGCAGGATTGGGGTGGACGTTATCAAACTAGGTACGGTTTTGAAAGTTGGTCAAACCTCACTCTGTGGCCAATATGTTCATGCGGTGACTACGGTAAGCTTCCATCTCATGTTGCATGGAGTGAGCGGGGTGAACACATGATACTTTGGGTTGGAGGGATCGTCTAAGGCGTACAGCTGACTTGATTTTATACGTTCTAAAGATCGGAATTAGAGAGTGCACTCGGACTGGTGTGTTAGTTCAAAGCGCTCCGTCTGGCAATTGGGCTCAAGATTTAAGATTAGAAACTTGCTTCAACTTAGTTTGAACGTGTAACATACATCCGAGTGGAACATAGTGCTGGAGCTGACCGTGTGCATTTTCACAAATAGCGTGGTAGCAATAAAACAGCAATATAGTGTTTAACCTTTTCCCTGCGATTTCCCTGCGGAAGCACACATCATTAAGAAATACCGTCCATCCGGGAGATGATCAATACTATGTTACTTAAAACGAAATGCTCGTCGGTATCCTGGATGACACTATATACTGTATAAGTGTCTTCAATTGCTGTCAAATCGCTACCGGGATGGTGGTGTTTGGTTTTCACTTGGAAGGTTGCTTGTTTAATTTTGAACGACATTCTCAAGGTGGGTTGATGACAACAAGTAAGAAACAACTCCCAGTACTTTCCACCTCATCGAGCACAGCATGATATTATTATGAGTCCACAAATCACGAAACCTTATGAGTAGACTAACTGTCGGTCTGGTTTAAGGCTGAAAGACAAACTGAGCCTACAGCAAACGATGCTGAATACACTTGCCTTTCTTTTATTAAATACACTTCATGATACTGAAGCACTGTACCAGTAGCTGAACGGAATGAAATTACAAACAATCTTCGTCGTTCTCAACTAACTTCTCACTTTTCACTTTCCCATGGGACTTCACTGAATAGCCTCATTTGACTTTCGTCCGTTTCATTGCATCGCACATTTTTGGAGAGTATCCTCCCCATTTACAGGTGAAATTATTCAAGAAAAGGAGAAACCAAATTTTTCTCCAATCTATCATACATACCCGTGCCAAGTAGAAAAGTTTGACAGTCCGAGAAGACTCAATGGTTAAGGCGCGAACTTACCTGCTAGATGGTCTGATGTTCGAACCCGACCTCTGAATCTTGACTAATCCTGTCTATGATTGGGCAATCTAGCAATATCTGAGCCATCGTGCTTCTTTTGGAATGCACAGCAGCTCGGCACCAAAAGGGTTTTACAACTGAACTGGCAAGAGTTCCTGTTGTAACTTACCCGACAGATGAACGGAAACAGGACACTTAGAGTATTCACTCCAAGAGAACCATCACAAAAAGCATTTTGACTGGAACCGTTCTAACATCGTATCCCGTGTTTTTACCTGCTTTTCTAGAAACACACTACAAAGGAATTAAAGCTTTCCGGTGAATTCTGTACTGTTTGGGCAGAAGCTAGCTTTGTTTGACGTAAACATTTTTTTAATCCGATCTACTCAGCGGCGGAGCAGTGAGGACATTGTCTCTAATACGGAAGCATGTCAATCATTTCGATCAGTTAGCTTTACCTGAAGGTTAAGTCCAATATCTTGATTACTTTCATGTTTTCAACCGACCTTGAAAAATGTAACTTGTGATCCAAACTGATTGACAAAATCTCAGGTCGTGTTTGGTCCTGAGATCCATATTACTTTCGTTAGAGAATCGAATATTA